GGCGCCTCCGCGACGGGCCCCCTCGCACTTCCTCCTCTTCCCGCGAGCTGCTTGATCGGCGCGTCTCGCGAGACAACTCCCAGCCGGGCCGCTCACGTTAGCGCCCTGGTTGTCCCTACGATTGGGCGAGAGTAGGTCGTCTCCGCCCTCGGGTGAGCGGAGCTCTCCTCCGGACTCCAACTCCCAGCCTGCACCGCTTCGGACTGGCTTCCGGGGGAGGGAGGGCCTGGGCACCTGCGCGCCCCGGCTTCTTCCGACTTCTTCCGCGGCAGGGAGGGCGGGCGGTTGTCTTGGTGACCGCTCCCTAACGGTCTGGTGGCACCGAGATATTTGTTGAGGGTTTGCAACCTGAGCTGCTGACTGAAGACGCCTTCGGTTCCTCCAAGCGTCCGAGGTGAGGCTGGATTTAGCCTTGTGTGCGGAGTTACTGACGCTTGAGAGGTAGCTTCCAGGAAATCCGTCCCTTTCTTGGACGCCTGCTGCAAAGATGCGAAGATGCATCAAGTTTAGGATCAATAAATCTTAGACAAAGAGGGAGAAGCCAGTCTCTGGTCCTTTGTAACCCTCGCGAGGATTCCTCTTTGATGTCACCTTTGTTCACCCCTTCCCTTTAAAAGGGAAAGGGGCGGGTGGTTCTGTAGCTCTCTTCCTGTCCCCACCGCGCACACCACCTTCCTCACCATTCCTTTTAGAAAAACTGAAATATCTAAGCCTATGGGTTTTTTGCTATGTCGTGTAGTATTTAAACAAAGGAGTTACTAAAATTCTTGGGAAGGCTAAGATGTGCTGGGTTTTTCCTCTCTTAACCCCTTTAGTTTTTCAAGATATTTAAAAATGTTTTTTGTCTCAGTGTGAGCCTGTTTTCAAAATTCTCAGTGATGCTTTGCCTGTAAGATAAACTTGACGTGTAAGCTCTTTTTATATCCTCTTCCTCCATACATACCGTTTCTCGTGTGTACACAGATGCTTCCAGATTTAACTACTGTGCAATCTTACACCGACAAAACCAGAAGTCATTCTCTCCCTGAGTTTGGGGTACTTGGTATTAATGGACTTTATCCTTTCTCTTCATTTTCCTGTTTCCTTCAAGTAATATTCTTGCTCTGCTGGCATGGTGGAGCAAGCCTGTAATCGCAGCAGAAGGCAGAGGCAGGCAGATCTCTATGAGTCTGAAGCCAGCCTGGTCCACAAATCAAGGTCCAGGACAGCCAAGGCTACACAGGGAAACCCTATCTCCAAAAACAAAAACAAACAGAAAAAGATTCTTGCCCCAAGATAGATAGATATAGATAGATAGATAGATACATACATACATACATACATACATACATACATACATACATCATACATACAAACAAATAGTTAAATTGGTTGAAGGGCTGAGGCCATGATAGGATTTAGTGAATCTGCCTTTGATTTGGCATCTTCCAGTGCCTAATGGTCTAAGGAATCTTTAGTATCTCATTAATACACTATATGTTCTGTAGTAAACTTTTGGTGTATTTAAGATTATTTCTTTTTACTCTGCAGAAGATTGACCCAGAATAATAAAATGTCTCGAAAAATTCCTAAGGAGTCAAAAAAAGTAAACATCTCCAGTTCTCTGGAATCTGAAGATATTAGTTTGGAAACAACCATTCATACAGATGATGTCTCCTCCTCAGAAGAGCGAGAGGGCAAAATCAAAATTACCAGGCAGCTAATTGAAAGAAAAGAAATACTTCATAATATCCAGTTACTGAAAATCGAGCTATCCCAAAAAAATATGATGATCGACAATTTGAAAATGGATTATCTTACAAAGGTAAGAACAGATGCAAAGTTTGTTATTTTACCTGCCTTCCTGTATTTAAACAGAAGATAAATGAGAAGTTGGTAGACAGGCCAGGTGTGGTGGCACCTGCCTTTAATCCCAGCACTCTGGAACCAGAGGTTTACTTAGTGAGGGCCAGGACAGCCAGGGCCATGTAAAAAGACCCTATCTCAAAACAAACAAACAAACAAAATGCATATTTAATCAGAACTTAAATGATATACTTGACGTTGCTTTTCCAATACTGCCCTTTTACACTTTACATATTAAAAATTGTGTGTTTTAAATGTAAGTATGGATGACTTACTTTTGTAGGCTTAATTTTTAAAATGTAACATTAGTGTAATACATATTTTCAAAGCAGCAATTTGTAGCTAAGTTTTGTTCTTCACCAGATGTGATGTGACTGACTAGTTTGATAAGAAGAATCAAGATCATAATTGTATTGTTGAACCTGAATTTTCCTCTCTAGAAATCTGATTTCCCTGTTAACCTTCCTAAACAGTTCCTATGTGTCTGAGAGTGGCTGTGTCATGGAAGTTAGGCATAATTGACCACTGTATTTAGCAAGTGTGTCATGGATATGAGGATGACCTAGTTCTTGTCCTTCTGCCTTGTGTGATTATTTAGTCCCAGGGTAGTTCATGGAATAGCTGGTAGAGATTAAACTAGCCCTAAGAAATAATGAGTGATTACAAGACACTTTTCTTTAGTGTTACTGCTTCTGTTCCCAAGAAAAGTATTTCTTCCTGACAATGAACTAACTTTATTCTTGTTCTTAGCTCTTCCTGCATTAACCCCTCTGTCCACCAGTATGTTTTTTTTCACTTATACTTTCTCTTGTTAATTTGCTCTTCTATTTAGTTCCATGCTATCTATACTAAGATACTACAGTGTCCTTTTACTAGAAAAAAAATATGGTTTTTTGGGGGCCAATTAGATGATTTGGTGGGTAAAGATGCTTAACTAACCACACGAGTCTGGGGACCTGAATACCATCTGTGGGCTGCATAGTTAAAAGAGAGAACTAACTCCCTAAAAGTTGCCCTGGTACACACACACTTGCACACATACACACAACTTAATAGTGAAAGGGAAGAGCTGGCCAGTGATAGAATGAGACATGAACACAGTGCACACATACACACAAGCAAAACATTCAAAAACATACAGATTGAGTAAATCATAAGAGATTGATTTAAACTTTTATTATTTATTTTAAAGGTGCTAGGGATCACACCCAGAGCTTTCAGCCTGCTACACAAAAGTATCCTGCCCATGAGGAAACTAGAGCAATTTCTTAATGGTGCCTCTCTGGAAAAAGCAGAAAATAAGGTTAAATTCATCTTAGGAAGGGAAAAGGAATCAATAGACAAAAGCAGGACCAAGTGTATAGGGGTTTACAGAAAGTATAGCATATTGGAGAACTGTAAGATTTCTTTGGGCTAGAGCCATGTCTTTTCCAGTTAGTCACAAAGGAAGTTGTTGGCAAAGCTCTCTTTAAGTGTACTCTGCTACAGGTTAGAAGTTTTTACAAAGACAGTTACTTGACTGTGGCAAGAATTTGTTAGCACATTTTAAAGGTAAGCTAAAGGGAAATGTGGAGGTTTGTAACATACCAGGAAAGAAAAATGGATGGGAAACCTATAATGGTCCAGGCAAGCATGTCACGAGGGACTTGTTTATTTTTAACTCAGAGCTTAGCAGTTACTCCTTTTGTTTTGGGTGTTTCTGATATCAGCCAGGTGGCATTAAGTGGAAGGTGGCAGTACTCATGTTAACTAATGACTTTGCAATATGAACAGAGTGCTTACATGAAGCTCCAGTCTGAGTGAGCTTTACATGCGAATTAAAGGGAAAACCATCTCAGTGATAGCCTGGCACAAATATTTATAAGACAGTAGTTTCAACCCAGAATCTTTGAGGACTCTTACTGTTTCTTCTAAGTGTTTGTTGTTATTCTAACTAAAAGCTGAATGTGTAAACTGTATTCTCTCTGGTCAGATTGAAGAGCTGGAGGAAAAACTTAATGATGCCCTTCACCAGAAGCAGCTGCTAACTTTGAGATTAGACAATCAGTTGACTATTCAACAGAAAGATGCCAAGTAAGACATGCTTTTCACAAAAGCCTAACATCTATTTATCAACTAAAAGTAATTTGACTCTTGTTTATGCATGTTGTTATAGGCTATAATAGAGAAATTTTAAGTTAGATATGCTTACTATCCTCACATCCAGACCAACAAAGGGAAGGTTGCTTTATAACAGCATACAAATACACAGTTAAAATTCAACATTTATTCACCAAATAATGGCCCGGTAAGCAACCCATGAATTACATAAGGAGCTTTCTGAATTGACCACAACTTGGTATATAGATAACCATTTCCTTCATTCATGCTATAAAACGTTCTGTATTGTCACAGCTATTCGGATTTTCTGGCTTAGTATACGGTTATTATGCCTGTGTATTTTCTTCAGGTCAATACCTAACAAGAGTGACCTGAGCCTGTTGTAGTAGAACCACACACGTATAACCCCAGCACTTGGGAGATGGTGGGAGGATGATCAAGAGTTCAAAGTCTCTGGGCATTGGTGGCGCACGCCTTTAATCCCAGCACTTGGGAGACAGAGGCAGGCTGATCTCTGTGAGTTGGAGACCAGCCTGTTATGCAGAGCTAGTTCCAGAACTGTACAGGGACACCATGTCTTGAAAACAAAACAAAACAAAAAGTAAATAAAAAGGGAGTTCAGGGTCATCCTCCTTAGTGAGTTGAAGGCCAACACTGGCTAGTTGAGACCTTATCGCAAACAGGGAAAGAAACAAAAATAAGAATTCATTGTTTACTCTCAAATGTACCTATGCCAATTACCTATGTAATTTAATTTAAAGACATTTTAGAAGAAAATACGCATTGTTTCTATAAAAACCAAATTAAATTCATTGGAAATACTCAATAAAAGTGAATGACAAAAGTTGGAAAAATGGTTTAGCAGTTAAGAGTACTGGCTACTCTTCCAGAAGTCCAGAGTTTAAGTCCCAGCAACCACAGATTAGATTATGACTGCTCACAATCTAATGCCCTCTTCTGATCTGCAGGCATACTTGCAGACAAAGCACCTGTATACATGAAAAATAAAGGCATGGTAGCTCATTCCTTTAATCCTAGCACTTGAGAGGCAAAGGCAGGCTGATCTCTGTGAGCCAAGTCTGGTCTACAGAGTGAGTTCCAGCCAACAGCAGCTTTATAGGAATATGTGTCTGAAAATAAACAAATAATAACAAGTCAATAGAGGCAAAATAGTTGTAAAAACAACAATGCAAAAACATCAATGAGCAGTGTCTCAGGTTCCTGTCGGTGTCTTTTAAGGTCTCCTCTCTAGGCTAGGAAAATGGCTCAGAGGTAAAAAAATGTTTGCTGGAAGACCTGAGTTTGAATCACCAGTAAAAGTCAAGAATGGTGGGGTTCCAAGAACCCCAGAACAACAGCAAGGATGAAGGCAAGCAGATACCAGGAGCTCACTGGCCTGCAGTCTAGCCATGGTGACCTCTAGGTTCAGTACATGCTCCTGTTTTTAAAAAAGTAAGGTGAAGAAACAGCTGAGAAAGACATTCTGACATCAGCCGCTGCCCTCCACACTGCTAGAATGGGGCAGTGGTTGGTTTCAACGTTGAATGACTACCTTATGGGGTTTTGTGTTACTGTATTAAAGAGATATGCCTTGCAGTACCAGGATCAAAGAGAAATGAAAAGTCCAAACCGATATATAAGGGTCTGAGACATTAGCAGATTAAATGTATAATTTTGTGATTTGAATTATTGGTTGCTTCCTAAGAAAGTTGGTTCTCTAATAATTTGGAATTATATATTTACCAACCTGTGTGGATTTGTCACTTCTTAACTAATTAGATAAATCAGCAATAATGATAGCCAAGAATACTATATGGAATCTTGAGAAAAATCTCAGTGATATTAAAGCTTGCCATAAATTCTCTCAATGTAGGAAATATCAAGAACTAATGAAACAAGAAATGGATACAATTTTATTGAGACAGAAACAACTGGAAGAGACAAATCAGCAGCTAAGAGACAAAGCTGGAGATGTTCGTCGAAACCTTCGAGACTTGGAACTGACAGAAGAGCAGTATGTGAAGCTAAAATCCTTTTCTGAAGAGCAGCTTTCTATCCCTGAATATGTGTCTGTAAGTGTGGTGCGTCACTGGTGCACAGTCCACAGCGGGGTGGTGGTCCATGCTGTAAAGTCATCCTCAGCACATGGAGACGGGGTCAGCTCTGCAGCTGGGGTGGTGGTCCATGCTGTAAAGTCATCCTCAGCACATGGAGACGGGGTCAGCTCTGCAGCTGGGGTGGTGGTGCATGCTGTAAAGTCATCCTCAGCACATGGAGACGGGGTCAGCTCTACAGCTGGGGTGGTGGTCCATGCTGTAAAGTCATCCTCAGCACATGGAGACGGGGTCAGCTCTGCAGCTGGGGTGGTGGTGCATGCTGTAAAGTCATCCTCAGCACATGGAGACGGGGGTCAGCTCCTACAGCTAGGGAGGAGTTGGAGGCCGTCTTGTACTATTGGAGTCCCTGTCTCAAAAGAAAAAACCACATATAGCTCCATCCAACCTCAGACTAAAACTGGTGTGTGTGTGTGTGTGTGTGTGTGTGTGTGTGTGTGTGTGTGTGTGTGTGTGTGTGTGTGATTTTCAAATTCCATTTTGATGCATATGTGACATTAGGCATTGTTTTCACTTGCCCTCCTCTCCCTGAGTCCTCCCCCATACCCCTGTCCTCTGTGTGTCTGGTTCCTTCATGGCACAGGTACCCTCCCTATTTCCTCATGACTCCCTTCCTAGGTTTATAGATACACACACTTAATTTTAAATTAGGTTCCACATAGGAGAGAAAATGTGGTGTTTGTCTTCTGAGTCTGGCTGGATAGAGGAAGGAGACAGGAGATGCATGAAGGATGAACAAGCTTAGATGAAAAAGTGGAGGACTGTTACAGGGGAAGAGAAGAAAGAGGTTAGGACAGAAAGCAGGTTTCTCAATTATAAAGAAGTTCAAAAACAAAGTTAGGTAAGTTTATTTACTCATTCACTTTTGAGACAGTCTCAATGGCTTGGAGCATACTCTTTAATTAGGGTTAGTGAACCCCAGGGATCTGCTTGCCCCAACTTCGCAGCATGGGATAATAAGCGTTTACCACCATATGTAGCTTTGTTATGTGGGTTTTTCGTATTGAGCTCAAGTCCCCTTGCTTCTTGGAGACATGTCACCGACTGCTTACTTCCTACCAGTCCATGTTCTGTCTTTTTCTCTGACCTTCATGAAAACGGAGAGTACCTTTAAGACCAAAATTTCAGTGACTCCATAGTCCATGAAATGACTTATTTTATGTGGTTCTAATATTCTCTAAAGGAAAGTGTATGAGGTTGAGCCAGATGAGTATTGTCTGGGATTACTTAGGAATAGTGGGGAGAAGGAGCTTTTATGGTTATTTTTTTTTTCTTCTGGTAAAAGGAGTTTTATTTGATAGTATTTTTTTCTATTATTATTATTATTATTATTATTAATTCAAGTTAGGGAACAGGCTTGTTTCACATGTGATTCCCCTCTCCCTCTCCCTCTCCCTCCCCTTACCCCCATTCCTTCTCCCCCACCTCCAACCTACCCCCCACCCCATCCACCCGCCACTCCCCA